AAAAGTGCTAAAAACTTGTCAAAATGAGTTCTACTTAGAAGAATGACAGTGATCTCTTCTCAGAAACATAGGTCCAGATGGAGAGATTGGTGGAGTCCAACCCCATGAGTGACAAGTGTGAACACCCATACAAATTCATCATTGGTTACTGTGACTGCTAGGAGTGTGCAAACTATAATTTTGGTTTGATTTTTAATAATTTGATTTGATATTTTGGTTTTTAGATTTTATACTTTAAAAATAAAACCAAACCAAACCTAAAAGTTTGGTTTGGCTTGGTTTGGTTTTAATTTTGATTTATTATTATTTAAAAAATATTTAGATAAATTATTTATTTAATTTTTTATTATCAAATATATATATATGCACATATGTGTGTGTGTATTGAAATAAAAATTGACATAAGATAATCAAAATTTGAAATATTACAAACAGAAATTAAATGCAAATATTGAAATGAAGAATAATACTCATAATAATTAAAACTTCAATTGAGATTGATACTTCATTGAAAATTGGAGAATACAAAGGAAAATTGGAATACAAATGATCAAGGCTCAAATGAGTTCTTTATTGGAAGCCAAGTGATACCTTCCATAATCCAAATGTCCTAATATGTAAACCCCAAAATTGAAACAAAATAAAAGTACAATTAATTTGATCACATGAATTCCTTTCCTTTCACAGGCTTGTCGAAGGAATTACAGAAACTTTTGCAAGTTTTGTTGCTTGTGCCAGACACGGAAGCTTTTGCATATTTTGTCATTTGTGTTTGATGGCAACACTTTGTCAAGAATCTAGCGCATGCTTTGTCAATCATAATTTACGATTGTAACTCACGGTTTGAAATAATATCTTTACTTTTAGACCTTTTGAACCCTTGGAATAGTGCTTCTTTTGACTTTTGAACTTGAAAATAATAACATTTTTGTCCTTGTGACCCTCAATTTTTTCTACAAAAATCCAAAAACATTGCTAAATTATCCTCAACAAAATCCAAAAATGATTATAAAAGATTAATCCTTCAAACACTACAATCCCTCTATGATTCAGATGAGAAAGAGTGTACAGAATCACCTTCTTCTAATTCTCAATCCTTATCAATTGATTTTGCTCAAGAAAATGAGAACGATTGTTTTGAAATCCTTCCACTAATTCAATAATCGTCAAAAAGATCTAGCTCATCAAAAGCTAAAAGTAAGGGTACAAGTACGAAATGAGTAAGTTATGTCTACTCTCACCCAAATTATCCTTTAAAAAAAAGATGACAAAAAAGTTACTATTTCCAAGTCCAAAAGACAAAAAAAAGTATTATTTCAAGAGTTCAAAAGGTTAAAAAGCAAAAATACTATTTCAAATCACTAGTTACATACGTAAATTATTACTGACAAAACATGCGCAAAATTCCTGACAACATATATTTGTGTACACACACATATATATATAGTATACACACACACACACACACACACGCATACATACGTGTGTATACATATGTTTATATAGTATATACATACATATATATACACATAACACACATATATATATACACACACATGAATATATATATTTATATATTCATATAAATATTAAAAATGTGCATACATCTACGCATAAATATGTAAAGTAAATACATACATTTACGCAGTTATAATATATATACATATATGTGTGCAACATGTACACACACAATGCACATATGTGTGTGTGTGTACATGTATATATATGCGTCTACATGTGTGTATATATGCATGTATATGCATACATATATGTATGTATCTATATATTTATATATAATATAAATATATGTGCATGTATATATATATTTATATTTATATGAGTAGATAAATTTATATATATATGTGTATGTGTGTGTGTGTACACACATAAATATATATATGTATATATATTTATCTAAGTATATGTACGTGTGTGTGTGTGTATTAATATTTTTTTATAGAAGAGAAATATTTTCAAAATTTAATTTTTGATTTAAAATAGTTTAATTTGGTTTTTAAATCAAACCAAACTATAATTTTGAATTACTTTTTTTAAACCAAACTAAACCAAACCAAATTTAATGTTTTTTTAAATAAATTTGGTTTGGTTTAGTTTAGTTTAGTTAATTTGCACACCCTAGTGGCTACAGCTTAATATAACAAAAAGAGAGTTAAGCACCGAATGTTGACAAATTACAGCCGGTGGAATAAATAAATAAGAAAAGAAGAAAATGGGTGAGATGAAAGAGCCCTCCTCTTCTACAAATAGAGGAGGGCTTGACACTCTTTAGGTACACCAACAAGAGAAAAAAATAAGAGGGTTAGAGATAGAATCTTTCAAGTTTTGAGAAGAGGAAAATTCTCTTATGTAGATAGTGAATTTACTGTAGTGAGGATTATACAAAAGTAAGAATTCTTTTGTGAGTGAGTATCTCAAGTTGACAAAAATGCTCGAGAGTTCTGTATAAAGTTACTTTTTATAGTTGTGATATTTTTCTCCTCTTGATCCTGATTTTTCCCGATTTAGCTTTTCCACGTAAATCTTGATATTCATATATTTTACCCCCTCCTAAAATTACTGTAAGTGTATTTTTATTCTGTGGGTGTGTTGACCTTAACAAATGGTATCAAAGTACCACGAGTCCTAACAAGTAGTATTATGCCACAAATGGAGAAGATGCTATACCAGAAAAAGTTGATGAGGAGATTGAAGAGTAGGAAAAGTAACAACAGGAAGAGTAACGCACCCTACCAGAAGCAGTAGTACAACCTCTCAAGCGATCTAAACGAGAAAAAAACTCATCATCCAAGTATCCGTCTTCTAAGTATGTCCTTATTACTGATGAAGGGGAGCTAGAAGACTTCCAAAAAGTATTAACTCATCCAGAAAAAGACAAGTGAATGGAAGTCATAAAAGAAAAGATAAGCTCTTTGTGAAAAAATGGCACATATAAGCTAGCTAAACTTCTAAAGGGTAAAAGACCACTCAAATACAAATAAGTCTTTAAAGTGAAGAAAGATGAAAATGGTAAGCTGATTAGACGCAAAGCTCGACTGGTAGTCAAAGGGTTCGGATAAAATACCCTAGTTCCAGATCATGGACGTGGATTCCCTCCCCCCACCATGGATTATATGGTAGGCACTACGGACATTAAAGAAATCATCTCTCACCTGGCCAACAAATAGAGTTGAGACCCTGCACCTTGCACCTTAAAGGAGAGGATAACATGAATTTTAAGAATCATCTGTGAATCAAGCAAATATATGAAAATACCCTAGTTCCAATTGCTTTCAAAGTCCACCATTTTTGTCACTTTACATCCATCAAATCCTCCAATATCCTCAACCCTAAATTCAACGAGCTTACAATCAAGGCCAACTCAACTATCATGCCACAAATCCACTATCCTCCCATTGTTCAAATTCCACGCTTCATATCTTGCAAGTGAATTCCATCATGTGGCAATGTCTCTCTAAAGTTTTGAATCAAACCCCTTGAGGGAAATGGAGAAAGGCCAATCATGACCCCTCTTACATTTACCCCTAAGGACTTTCACCCAGGTGGCTTCACCTCCAATTTTAATACACCAATTAAGCTTTATTCTGCAAGCCTCATTTATAATGTGGAGATCCCTAAAGCCCAAGCCTCCTTGATCTTTGAGCTTACACAAAGTTTTCCAAGCAACAAGACAAGTCCTCCTACACTCTACATTATGACCCTAGACAAAGCTCCTCTAGACTATTTCCACATAACTAATGACAGACTTAGGAGACAAGTCCATCATCATAGGATAAATGGATATAGAACCCAAGACTGCCTTTGCTAAAGTTGCTCTCCCTACCATAGAAAGCACTTTTGTTATGTCCAAACCTTGGACGATCGAGATACTCAAATAGCGCCCCACGTTACCTGACTACACAAAACTAGATGCATCAACAATCAGCTCCCTAATATCTCTGCTCACATTCTTTAAGAAAAAGATGCTTGATTTCTCTCAATTGATTCTCTACCCTAGCAATAGGCAAAAATCCTCAAGACACCTAAGAATGCATTGGATCTTATCCAAATTGGCCTGACCAAAGACTAGGTCATCGACAAACAATAGGTGTGAAATATGTAGACCTTCTCTCTTTTCTCTAATGGGAATCCAACTACCATCCCTAGCTCTAGCATCAATAATTTGAGATAGTTTCTCCATATAAAGGACAAAAATACATGGTAAGAAGGGATCCCCTTGCCTAATTCCTCTGTTCAGGCTTAACTCTTTTATAATTCCCCCATTCCACAAAACATTAAAAGAAGTTGAGAATATGCATCTCATGATCACCTCAATAAGATCATGAGGGAAACCCATCTCAATGCACCAATTTGATGAAGGACCATCTCATCCGGTTATAAGCCTTCTCTAAGTGAATTTTGATGGCAAAGAACCCCCTTCCCCCATGCAATTTCTTCTCCCGTCTTCCACTTTGGAGCACCTCTCTCTCTCTCTCTCTCTCTCTTGCTAGTATTTTCTTTCTCCTCCCATCTTTGGCTTTCGAGTTCCGCTCTCATCCTCTTCTCTTCTTCACCAATTGCCATTATTATGTTTTGGCACTTCAAACTGGATGAGCCATCCCAAGCGCATCATCGCTCCTGTGTTGGATCAACATGGCTATTTAACCCAAAATGGAGATATAAGATGGGATGCAACTAGTGTATAGGCAACTATAATTCATGCAATATCAGAACAATTTAAACATCACTGAAACTAGAGATAAATTATTTCTATTTTGAGTAAACTGTGCTACCTCCTTAATAACCCACACCCCCCCCCCCCAAAAAAAATAAATAAATAAATAAATAAATAATAAAAAATAGTGTCCCCCTACCCTCCCAGGTAGACGTTTATCAATTGAAAGCATTTGAAAAGTAGAGTGAATACTGGGAAAATAGAATTTACTTTAGAATATAAGTACTTCAAATTAGGCTACCAGTGAAACACAAATTGCTCCAATTACCACTTCAGCCACTGCACTTGCCTAGAAACACTTATTATTTAATTTTATATTAAGAAACATGGGTGCCCTACATATTTTATCAGAGATTCCAGGATTAACTGAAAAATCTAAAAATAACTACTGCACAAAATACATGATCAACTATTGGCAGTTGGCAAATGATTTGTTTCCTCAAAACAGGACAGCATAAGGAACTTATTTTTTTTTTTTTTTTTATTTTGGGGGGGGGGGGGGGGGGATTGTGTCAATTCAAATGGAGAAAATATTACAAGCATCAAAAACAATAAACTCAAAATTCATAATACTTTCTTATAGAAAGAATGTGTAAATTCAAATGGAGAAAAAAAAATATTCATGCATCAAAAACAATAAACTCAAAATTCATAATACTATCTTATAATATCTAAAGCTAGATCCAAGTTGTGTGATTCAATTTAAAAGCATATACATCCCTCTCCCTCTTCCCTGTCCAACCAGACTCACTTCCACTACCCTCATCCAACAAAAAAAATAAATAAATAAGAGGAAAGGAAAGAAGGAAAGGACAAAAAAAGTAATAGAAATCAAAACAAAGATGCACTAAATTTATATGGAAGGGCGGAAAAATCAAAGCACTGAAAAATACACACACACACACACAACATCCTTATGCCAAATGCTGCAGCAATATCTGGCCATGCCTAATAGTGTGTAAGAGCTAACGTTCCTCTCCAGCTCTAGCATATATCACCCCATCCCCCACCCCCCCCCCCCCCCCCCCCCCAAAAAAAAAAAAAAAAAAGATCAGAAGAGAAAGGAGCCCATACATAGAATCAATTTTGTTACCTCAGAGTGTCCAGAGATAAAGCTTCAATAGCACACAGGCTAACAAAAACTAGAACATCTCATGACAAGCAAGTCGGATGAAAGTAACCTTCTCTCAGTTGCATGTATCATGCATAATAATCTGTAACACAGGAAAAGGTAACAATGAGCAGTAGCTGTAAAGACAAGAGGCAAACAAGCCCCATCAAAGCTACAGAACATGGTAGCAATGTATCAGAAAAACCTGTAACAGCAGACTACTTGGGTCACACTCTGATGGACATGGGTGCCTAGGTTAAAACTGACCAAGGTGAAGATTCAAAAGTCATCCAAAGGAATTAATGAAATAAGGTATAAAATGACTGAATCTTGAATTAAGAAAAACAAATTGTTGAAATGAAAACATAGATGCAAAGACAAAATTATGATCTATTAAGAAAGAATGGGAGAACTACTTTACAAATCATCCACGAAAATTAAAACATGCAATCAACTTAGTCATTTTTGCCATCTAGATACTCAAAACCAACCAGCTTTGACAGAGCAACTTCTAACACCATCAAATGTGCTTGCCCTTTGTGGTGGTCTTGGACCGAAATACAAGATGCAGCCTGGTACTGAATGGCACAACCAATCCTAACTTAACCACATCCATAAATCCACAATTCCTTCTGAACCAGTCCCTCCTTCAGATCTATCACCAAGGGATAACCCAAAAAACAAAAAAACACAAGTTAGTAATTGATAAGAAACCTATTGAAGTTTTATGGTAGTATTTGCTATAAATTGAAAATATCCATCAGATTATGCAGTAAGACAAAACATAAAACAATCGAAAAAGAAAAAAGCATGAAATCAGATAAGGTCATTATACCAATTACTTGGCTGAGGAAATGCGATTCAATGACGGCAACCAGCTCCTTGAAGCACCAGCTCTGCTCTGAAATGTGTGCCCAACATTTGAAGATTCGGTTGGCTCCTCAGGTGTCAGAAGATCTCTTTTGAAGGCACTAGCTAGAGAAACTGAAGTGGATGGCACATGTACATTGCTTAAATTCTGCAAAGATAGTATGTTAAAAGATCATCGCTTCAACAGTGCAAGTAGTAGTGTGAATTATGACAGATAACTGCAAGAATGAAAAGGAGATCATGCTACTCTTAAGCAAAAAAATTTAAAAAAAAATTCAATTGATAAGAAGTGATGCAAAGACAGATATATCTTTGAGGAGACCAGGAGCTAAATGAATCCTTAATACATACGTACATACATACATATATATATATATATATATATATTAAGAATATTAATAACAACATACGGTGTGATCAATACTGCAACCTACATGTTTCGCAGTGGTATTATCAGCAATCAAATTACGTGGCATTGCTGATCTAGAATGCTTGTCATGATTGGAACGCATTAACCCACTTGATGCTCTGGGACCTGTCACTTCAGCTGCGAAAGAACCACCATTGCCTCCTAAAAGACAAAGCATGAAGCTGAATTTTTAATTACCAATATATCTATTTGGATCTCTTAAATCGACAATGTCAGAAAAGACAAAAACTCAAATTTAAGATGGTCTTATGTTTATGGTCCTATTAGTGTTTTAGGATTAGTCAATTTTCATGAATAATTACATGCTATCAAAAGATCTATTGTACACTTGCAGACAGAGAAAGAGAGAAGAGAAGAGAAGAGCTCTAAGGAAATATAAAGGCTAGGGTAGAAATATATTCCCAATACTTGGTATCATCACAAAATGACAGCAGCAACTCTAAGCCGGTTCACTTAACTCAAAATTTTGTAAAATGGTCATTCTAGAATCCATAGAGGTATTATGTCACAAAATTCTATCAACAAAAGAGAACTATATAGTAATTGTGCTATGAAAATTTAAAGGTATATTTCAATCTCGAGGCACTGATGCATTTCTCAGAACTTACTTCTGTGTTATATGCCAACATGCAAACAAGCTGGGTATTGAAGGATTTTAAGAACTGACATAACTTTATCTATCAATATTGTTCTTGAAATTATAATAATGAGTCCCATTCTGAAGAGAATCATTGACTTCTGAACTAACAAAATTTTAGATCCTATTTAAAATTGATGCAGTATCAATTATCTGCATGCCTCTTGATGTGTTGTACACTTAACATGTCACAAACCCTACAAAACACAACAACATATAGTATGAACAGTTTCACGTTCTTTAACAAGGTTCAATACACTTGCTTGTCCTCTCAGAAACAGAAAACTAAGACAGCTAATTGTTTATTAAACCTTAAAGACAAAAATTACTTCAAGCACTGAAAACTGCACAGACCACTTACTTTCATGCTTATCCAGATCTGTATGAATTAAATTGCTGTTGGTCATCCCTGAAGCAGGCTGTAAAGTCTGAATAGTGCCATGAAAAGGAACAAAACCAGAAAAGAGTTATTTAAAAAATAAAAGAATAAAATTCAAGGAATTACACTATAAGCAATACTTACTGATGATAGGGGTTCAGTTTTAGTCCGTTGGGTTTGTTGATACTTCAGAATGGTCCAATCAAATATATAATCCAATACATATCCTGCCAGACATGACACAAGAAGTAAATTATGCAGCAAAATTACATATCCTAACAACTTTATGCATAGTCAATGTTCATCAAAGCCAGCCATGTTAAAATATTAATTAGCTTGCAGCTCGAGTCAAAAAAAAAAAGGAATTTGATGCACAGGAAGAACAAGTGAGATCTAATGAGGAAGATACATAACAATCAGAGTATGGCATACACTGGTGGATACTGCTGTCTTACTCAAGTATCTTTTCTCTAACAACAACTATCTCACAAGTGCTTCATCAAAGCTCTAAACATTTTAAGACTAAACAGAGAAGCACAACATTTTTCAAGGTAAGATTATTAAGGATTGGGTTCTTCATTAAACATTTATAAATTTGGTCTCAGCTATTGCGTCCTAGCAGGATGCCTCTAGCAATGGGCATGAAGACAGTTAAAGAACTTTGAAGACAGAGATAACATCCCAAACATCAAGGTTGCAGAAGACAATTTATGCCATTGTTTACACCAAGCCATCTTTATACGTATATCCTCATCATTGCAAAATTGACAATAACAGATGTTAGACCATTATCTTTATTGCTACACTAAAGAATTACTGGGCAGTAAGCACTTATTTCTTTGACTATAAACCTCTGAACCCAACAAGATGGTTAAGAATTCATGTTCCACTTCCAAAAGTAATGTAATGTATATGCCTTTTTAGTGTCTCATGAGTTTAAGGCTGTTGATACCTTCACGAGTAAACAAGTCACGGAACAGACGCTTCAGGAATCCATAATCAGGCTGTTGATCAAACTTTAAAGAGTGGCAATAGTGGGGTAAGATGCAATTTCCACAGGATAAGACTTGCACAAAACCTTTCAAAACAAGTTCCATGTCAGATAACACTGATATAGAAGGTGTAGAACAAATAAATGAAAGCCACACCAAAAAGAGTTAGAATTCATGACTGTTTCATAAGCTCCCATAGTTATAAGGTTTGACGAATTTGTCATGACCAATAAAATAATTAACATCAAATCATTGATTTTCGTCTGAAAGTAGGGGAAAGAATAATTGAATAATATTAAGAATATGACTATGCAAGTAGAAGAGTTGACAAAAATGATAAGTTCAAATAAGAAAAAAATCCAATGGAATTAAATATCACATGTCATTCAACTCAAGTACATACCTCAATGGGAGTTGATAACTTCTTTTCGCATATTTTGTCATATTTTTGCTTCTTTGTGGCAGCTTTTTAGACCCTGCCACGGAGGCTAAACCCAGTAACCATAAATCAGTCAAGCCAAGCCTAAATACTAAACAATAAAATTTCATCTCCTCAAAGTAAAAGCTGGATATAAAAATTTATAAAAAAAGGAAAGAATAAAGTCAATGCACATGCAATCTCAAAAATCCACTTCACAAAGGACTTAATTTAAATGTCCAGGTAAGCAACAAAATGTACAATCCATAGGCAAAAAAAAGCAGTAGTCACTGTTTATAGGCATACCTTCCTCTCAAAAAGTACAAAAGAACATAGCCAAGAGACTCCAAATCATCCCGGCGGCTTTGCTCTAGGAGATGGAAACAAAATCAGAAAAGACCCAATGCTCAACATATATATAAAACATATTAACTAAAATTCATTGCTTACCAATTCCTAAATGAGTATTGCAACTTGCATATCGTGCAGTTCCTGTTAAGTTTTTGTTCTCTCTGTAATAGTTAAGAGTGAGAAGCAGTTTATGTAACAGCATGGCCTGGCATTGAGTCCAGACAAGGAAACAGACAAGACATAATAACATTAGTAGTACCAAAAGACATCCTAATAAATGATAATGACAGTATGACAATGACAATAATTTTAAGGCAATACAGCTTTATGTAACAGAAGCTGTTCAGTCATATTATTACCACAGAAAAGTTTGTGTAGACCTTGTTATTTAGTTATTTCTTTCTAGTGGGAAAACTAAAGATATGAGCCTGCAGCAACGAAAGCAAGGACTCTCAAGATGAAGCCAGAAATTCAGTCTGATAATAAAAGCAAAGAATATAACCTAAGATTTTCACTATGGAACATATGCCAATCAAGCATCAGAACCTTCCAAAGATAATAAAACAGAACACACAAAAAGAAAAGTTGCAGTTGGCATATGTCAGAAAGATATAACATAAGAAACAAGAAATACATGACCAGATTTTGGTTATTGGAAGCACACCTGTAAGCAATATGGCGATTTGTAGTAGGATCACGGTATCTTTTTGCCAATCCAAAATCTATTATGTAGACCTAACAAACAGGACAAAATTGACATTTTGATAATAGTACATCAGAAGCAAGAAACCCTAACATCACTAATAATTGTTTGTATGATACACGTTCAAAAGGTCTATATAGTAGATAGTTACCTTATTTGCTTTGCGGCCAAGGCCCATGAGGAAGTTATCTGGTTTGATATCTCTATGCAAATATCCTTTAGAATGCAAATACTCTATTCTTGACATCTGTAATTTCACATATAGAACCAAAAATAAAAATAAAAATATTTTTATTTTGGAAGCAATGCATGCTATCATCTTATCTTAGAGTAGAACAATTTAAGCAACAACCACATAGGAACAAGTGAAGCAGGAAAATTCCAATTACAATAATAATTTTTATCAATATGTATACATTCTTCATGTCAATTACAACTGCGACCAATGCACTACAGACACAGCATGAAAGAGAATGTATGTGTAGCAATATGTATATAGGTAGATTAGAAATATACAATAGAAATGAATCGCATAGGAATATTCTCATTTATTTCTTTTTATTTCCTTTCCTTATTTGTATATATCCTTCCATACTATAAATACAGAATCAGGAAAACAGTTTATAGACACTGACTTATTTATATAACTTAGGGTTTTCTATGATTGTCTCTCAACATGGTATAAAGCAGGCAAAGGTTTTGGGTTCAAGTCTCGCCACCTGCAAGTTTAAAAGTTTCCACATGTTGGCTATGTTGTGATCATAAAGTCTAGCCACATGTGAAGGGGTGTGTTAAGTAATATACGGTTAATTTACTTCTCTCTCTACAAGCTTAAACTTTTAGATGAGATGATAATCAACAATTCAACATGGTATCATTTGGTTTTTTTTTTTTTATCACCATTCTTCACACAATAAAAGCATTTATCTTGTGGTGTGTATAGATAATATCGTTATCACAAAAGATGATGAAGAAGGTATTGGTCAATTAAAACAACATCTCTCGTGCCACTTTTAGACCAAGGATTTGGATCGACTAAAATAATTTTAGTATTAAGGTGGCTCAATCATCAATCAACTGATGTTGTTATTTCTCAGAGAAAGTATGCTCTTGATATATTAGAGGAGACTGGCTTGATAGATTGTTGACCTATAGATACTCCTACAAATCCTAACATCAAACTTCTATCAAGACAGGGGAGAGCCTTTGTTAGACCCTGGACGGTATCAAAAAACTTGTTAAAAAAATTAAACTACCTTACCATCACTCAACTGGATATTTTCTTTGCTGGTAAGTGTAGTCAATCAATTTCTACAATCTCCATATGATAGTCATGGGGATGCTTGCAATCCGAATTCTTAGATATATCAAAGGGGTACCTAGTCAAGGACTTCTCCATGAAGACAAAGGTCATTCTCAAATCATTGGTTACTCAGATGCAAATTAGGCCGGATCGCCCTCACAGAGGCGATCAACCTTAGGCTATTGCATAATGTTTGGAAGCAACTTGATTTTTTGGAAAAGTACGAAATAGAATGTGGTTGCTATGTCAAGTGCAAAAGAAAAGTAACATGTCATGGCATTGGCAACATGTAAACTTATATGGATTAAACAATTACTTTAAGAATTGAAATTTGGAGATATTAAGCAAATGCAATTGATCTGTGATAATCAAGCTATCTTACACATTACTTCTAATTTGGTGCTTCATGAGAGGACTAAACACATAAAAGTTGATTGTCACTTCATCAAAGAAAAGATTTAGGCTAGGTGCATTGCAACTAACTTTGTCAATTATAATGATCAGTTAGTAGATATACTACACAAGTCTCTCAGGGGATTTCAGATTGATATTATATATATATATATATATATAACAAGCTTGGTGCATATGACTTATATGCTTTAACTTGAGGAGTGTAGGAATATGTATATGGGTAGATTAGAAATATATAATAGGAATGTATCGTACAAGAATATTTTTTCTCATTTACTTCTTATTTCCTTTTCTTATTTGTATATATCCTTCAATACTATAAATGCAAAATCAAAGGACAGTGTCTCATTTACACACAAATTAGGGTTTTCTACTATTGTCTCTCAACAGTATGCATAAAATATCTGGGGAAGCAAATGAATATTTATATGACATCCGATTTAAAAGATTTGAATGCTGATAATATGCTTCAAAAAACTAAAGTAGTTGGTCAAAGATGAAAGCAACTAACCCAGTTGACAACAGATTCATAACCACACAAACTAACAAAGAATCAAACAAATGTTACCATCTGATCAGCCAGCATTAAAAACTGTTTTCAGTGAAAATTTCCTCCCACAATATACAAAAAGGTCTTCAAGACTTGGTCCTAGAAGATCAAGGATGAGAACATTGTCATCTCCATCAACCCCAGACCATCTTGTGTTTGCAATACCACCTAAAAGAATTTCAGAGAGAGAGAGAACCAAGGAATAAACTATATAAGAACACAATGTAGACAGAGTAAAACAGTACAAGGCAATGCCAACGAAAAACCTAGTAAACACAATATACTCACTTCCTGCCTGCAGAATCTTATACAACTTGGCTTCATAAATCAGCTGGGGGTGTTTTGTCTTGTTGTTCTCCTAGAACCAAAAAGCACAGTCAACCAAAAAAAAACAGTAACTAAATAAGTAGTTGTCTCAACAAGCATGAACTCAAAAAATTAATAAAAAAAAGCATCGCAAAACACCAAAAGAGATATTCTGAATGAATGGTCAGATATCATCCATGCCACATAAAAAAAAAGGAGCGTTAACCCACTTCATAATCATTAATTATTTTCTTTTTTTTTTTTTTTTTGGGGGGGGGGGGGGGTTCAATATTCTTAATTATTCAATTAAGGCAGAACATAAAGAGAAACTCTACTTTTTTTCCAAAGTCTAGGCATGGAAATGATTTCATTGCACAAAACAAAGAACCGCTCTTTATGACCAAAAAGACTAAACTATATTACAGATTAAAAATTCCTGAGTGGAAATGAAGGTGCTATTTATACAGTAAATTGATTATATTAAATTCTAGCCAGAATCAGAGAGAACAAAAACACTACGTCAGTAAGGGGCAAAGTGGATTCATCCCACCCCTCTCCAACTATATGTTGGTATACATATAGTAACACTAAGCAATTTTGTTATAGAATATGGAAAGTTTCTTTTACCAGAACCAACTATTTCAGCGCAGTTACTAGTGAATCAATCCCGTGAATTATAAATCTACGAGCTTGCTTGAAAACAAAGTTCAAA